ATCCCGTTTCCCTCATTTGCAATCGCCTTCTTGCAGTAACCTTATCGTTAAGTAGTTTCTGTTCAGTTTTGTGTTCAGGCTGAGCATGTAGGTCAACAAACATTACAGTTTCACCTAACAAAGCGTTAGTTTTAGTTTTGCGATTCATAGAAAAGTTGCCTGGATTCCGGCAGAACAAAGCACTGGCCAATGTGCTATACATCTCAAGCACAAGTTCAGACAGAATCTGGAGCCCCGAGTGAAACATCTGTTTGGCCTTTTTGTCTGATGAGCGATAGCTTGGCAGAAATGCACCGCTAATGTGTTTCCCACCCTGAGCTCTGCAGCTGGTTGCTGTGTGAACTTTCAGAGCTGGCACGTGACGTGGGACTGGATTGGAAAGGCAGGAGTCCGAGTAGAAGTGTAAATGAATTCAAATGAGAAATTAATTAATTCGTGAACTTCTCAAATTGATTGAAGAAAGATAACCGACCCTAGGGCTGTCACTATTCGTTATTTTTTTAAATCCTAATACGCTTAAAAAAAATATTGTGGAATTTGAAATTGAATTCTGTTAAGTGTTCATTTACCTAAGCGGAGTGAGATGAACAGTGTTTCACACTGCACGGTTGGTGAAAGGTATTGGCACATGTTGCTGTGTTTATCTGGAAAACAGTTGTAAGAGGCAGCAGATCTGCGTCCTGTTTCAGATTACCCTACTGTCACGTGTCTGCTGCAGCTTTTTACTGTGTGAAACTGACTCGAGCATTGTTATTTCAAGGAATATAATCCCTACCGAATAACCAATTTCAGTTCCGAGCAGTGTATAATCTATAATTTTGCCAATTTTAATAATAACTAGCAAGCCAGCAAAAGCTACTGTCTTGTAATAATAACCAGGGGTTTATTTACTATGGGGTTTGAGAATACCTTGCAAAATAGGATCAAAGAGATCTGTGTGAGTTGGTTTTTTTTTTAACTGGGTGCTGAGAATACATTTGATCTTTTTCACTATCGTAGTACATTGTGTTTGTAAAACAACTATAATTAGCAGGGAATTGCTGATAAATAGTGGTGTTACTATATTTTGCCTGAGCGCCTGAGAGCTGTTAAAAGGATAGATTGCATGACAGCCCCTTGTTAAAGAGAGAATCTGACAGAGTTTCCAGTAGATGGTAATGTGGTTGGCAGGGAGACCTCACTTTAACATGACCTTGGTCATACTTCTAACCATTAACACGATTTATGTGCAGCACAGAAATCACTTCATTCAGTAAAAAGCAAAATGTAGTATTTTGCCTACAGTATTGTCTTGACAGTGAACAATCAGTGATAAAGGCTTCACATTTGGGTCCTAGACTTTGCCTTTGCCATTTTGGTAAAGAGCCAACAGCTATGTGTGGGCTGCTTAGTTTGATTCCTGGTAGTAAACATTCGTAGTTGGTTAAAAGAGTAAAAAATGTTTTTAAAATGACTAATTTGTAAAATTTTAAAATGAAACCCTGTAAAGGTGTATGCTCTGGACCATATTCAATATGTTATTCACCTCAGAAGTTAATTGGCTGTAGTAAAGGCTGGAGAATGGATAACTGGGGTACTGTATGTAGACACACCTGTTATTAACTCTATGATGCCACTTATCAAGGCCTTAACAGCAATGTAGATTGATAAAGCAAGTAAATTATGACAAGTGGCACAGCACAGGCCAAAACAAAGTTTAATGGCTTTATTGTGTACTAAGATATTTCCAATGTATGTCTAGCATTGTTTTCCTTTCATTATAACTGGGGTTTTGTCATCCTGTGCAGAATGTTCCTTAAAAAGGTGTCTTGTATTTGTCAGTCTTTACTCTAATTATGCATGCTGTAAGTCATTTATGCTTTATGGATTAGTGACAAAAAAAAGAATGCTGACCGATCTGAAGGGTTGCCTTTTTATTTTTTGCTATGTTTGTACAAGTTGTCAGATAAAATTTGAAATCTGGCTGCGGGTAGTGGGTCATGGGCTCTCTATCGCAGTGTTAGGCAGTGTATAGACTGGCTGTCAGGACATGATGAAACCCAGTCCTAGCTGGAATACTGTGGTAGAAGCATTTCAGTTTGTTTCCTTTTACAGTCAAGGAACTGTGTCCCTCTGTAGCTTTAAGAGAAGTGCTTTTCTCTTAAGTGGTGTTACAAACTCATAAAAACTACATAAGGGATCTGTAAAACCGCACAACTTAAGAAGGCCTTGTTTTCAAAGTATTTACTGTAGAATGGTTACAGCAAAGCAGTGCAATAAACACTGTAAAATCAGTACAAAATTTGGGGGAAAAAAGCCAGTGATAAACTTCAATATTAAACATGCAGGGTGTTTTGATGTCATTGTTATCACTGTGCAGAATGCTGATATGTACAGTACCTGTTTTGCTTTGTCTCGGGTGCTGTTTGAGGACCTCTGTTAAAGGCACATAAAAGTGGACAGTGGAAACAGCACTTCCAGTCCAAAGTTCATGATCTATTTAGCATGGGTAATACCTCAGAATCACCTGCTCTTGTATGTTAGAATCAGTTTTTATTCATTTAAAATTGTTAAAAAACAGAATGAAGCAGACCAAAACAACCTGACAATTTAATGTTGTTGAACCGCAAAATCTCTGTATCATCATTGCCTGGATCCAGTGATGCCAGGAGAGCAGGTGTGGAGATTCCCAAAGCAGAGCCATCATCATCGTCTTGTTAGCTGCAGCCAGACCAGCCAATTAGATCTGTTTCTGCATCAGGGAGAGGCCGAGACTGGAGTTTTCATTCAGCAGGAGCATGAGCTGGGGGCAAGGAGCATTAGAGTAGTGCACAAAGAGGAGGAAACCTTTTTCTTAAGTAATCCTATAGCTGGACACTCCCAAATGTGTACAGATTTGGACAGGAAGGGTACAGAAGGGACCAGGGGGAAGGATGGGGTCTGTGAGGGGTTTGGATCACTGTCTGAAGAAGTACTTCGTTCATTCTCACTGCAGACTGGAGAATTTGATATGAGCATGCTTCCCTTTTCATATTAATTTAGAAATGTGACAATGTGGTCTATCCCACTACACCATGGAGGAGAAAAGGAATCGTAGAACTAAAAACTCCCAGCAGGGCAGCGCATTCGTTTATATTACCGAGACGCAAACCTGAACAGAATGGGAGAAGTGAGTCTATCTGCTCAGGTCAGGGTCTACCCATTTAAATATTTTGCTAAATTTGTTTATTCTGATGGTTATTAAGGAAGAGGTAATTTCACTTCAGAGTGTCTGGAGTGTTTGTCTAGCACCACAGTTGGAAGTGGGCTGGTTTTCTTTGAAGCAGAATTTAAAGGTAGTTCTGAAGACCTGGACCAACTAATTCTACACCCTGATAGCACTCCAGAACCTTCATAAATAGCTAGCAGGTGAGGCAACTGCCTATATCAACTGCATAGAATGAAAAACAAGATTGAGTATTGTTAACAGAAACGGGAGAGGAAAAAATAGATTGACAGAACTATTGAGCAAGAGGTAAGGACAAGGCAAACAACAGAGGTTTAAGTGGACATCCCTGAATAGAGACCCTAGATCCTGCAAAATGAAAATAATGTGCCCATATAAGGATGCCCTTGAATAAAGCCTGTCTGATCATGAGCTTATCTAGTCATGTACTGTAAACCTCCAGCTGGCATGAAAGCACCTTAGCGTGCAGCTTGGTATCCGAGCCAATGAGTGACATGGGTCGATAGCGTGCTCAAAGAGCGTGACCTTGTCTGATTTTCAACAATAAGGATGAAACGCTCCTAAAGGCAGCTTTGTGAATGGCAGCATGTGTAAGGCTGAAGCAGAACTGGAGCCACAGTCGGGTAAGATTCAGGAGGGATGCTGTCGGTGCCAGGTGACTGGTCCTTTGTCGGGTTCTGATTAGCGCAGTCAGAGACGTGGGCGTCTCCAATACTGCCCTGCTAAATCTGCAGGAGAGAAACATGGTAAATGAAGAGATTGGAAGAACCTCATAAAGCTGCAGACACAGCTGTTGGTCCTTGAGTGAGAAACTTGACCCCAGTTGCTCCAGTCCACCTAGGTGTGTTGGTAGGAGATTAGCACTTTGGGAGGCAAATCCCTGCTATGGGCTGATGTCCCTTCCAGAATGGGAGTTACCTGCTCCCCACTTAACACTACAGAACCAGGATGGGATCCTGACCTTTGTGTTCAGGTACTTTGCCTTTGCTTAGCAGTCATTTATTGGATATCGTAAAACAGACACAAACATGTTAGCCCTGTGTGAGATTTTAATAAACCAGTGGGTTTTTAAATTGCTATAACTCAAAATTAAAATGCTAGAACACAGAATGTTCATTGTTTTTAGACATTTTGTTTTTCCATGTGGCAATGCCAATTCTTCTGAGCATTTAAGAAGATTTAACAATACAGACCCAGCTATCTGAAACATTCAGAACTTCTATTTAAAAAAATAAATTGTGTCTATTTTAAGATTTTTATATTATAACCTTTAATTTTCCTTCCTTTTACCATTTTTTTAGTAGCAGTCAAATGGGGGAAAAAAACATAGAAGCATAAAATTAATCTTGCTCAAACAAAGTGCCTCCTACAAAATCATGAATCATCATACCAGGGTGAGCATAGTAATATCCTGCTAGTAAGAACTCAAAGGGCATCCATTTGCTGCAAACAGCAGTTTGAATATTAAATCATTTCTTTTATTTTTTAGAGTGGATTTTTGTGTGTGTTATCTTGACACTCACAGTATATAGCAGAACCACACTTTATTTGTGAAAATATGCAATTTTCATGCCTTTTTCCAATTAGCATTACGTTTGTTAGACCAAAAAGGTCTTTTAAGGCATTCAGCTATTTGGTATCTTGCTAAATTAAAATGTTGTTTTCATCATGTATTGTATGAATGCACAATCTAATAACCTTTATCTGCATTCCCAGCAAAACCTTTTGGAATCACCCCTGAACAAGGATAAAATAATCTGCTAACTCCTGCTTGTCTCAGGAAAGAAAATATTTTTTTCACTGGATTTCCACCTACACAATGACTATGCAACCACAGATGTCATTGTGGATTTAATGGTGTATCATCTTGGCAGCAGGGTGTACACAATATATCCACATATAGCCATGATGGAATAAAAAGCATTTGCTTTAAGGTCTTATGGTCCTGCAATCAAGATGATCGTCATTTAATACCGAGCTTTCATATGTTTCCACTGAGCTTCTGGGCTCCATGGTAACAACTACACCTGGGAATACTCTAATCAGATGCAAAAAGAGCTTGTACTGTCCAGGGAGCAGTAAGACACGAAAAGGAAATTCCTTTGTATAAAAGGCCAGCCTTGTACTGAAGGCACACAAACTATCAGCAGCTACATCTATCCTCTGTGTTCTTTTCTGATTGAATACCATGCCTGTTGCTTGTTCTTCTCTTATTTGTTGGTTCCCCTTCGATCATTTTCCAGGACTGTTCCTCCTGAACAGACGTGGAAGGGTCATTATCGTGACACCACGCCTTTCTGTCTCAGGAAAACAGTGCAGATACCTCTGCTGCACCTCCCAGCGTTGTGTCCTGTCGTGCTTTTGGGGTCTCCTTTCTGACGCCACCTTTGCATGGTTAGTTAGTGTGTGTTGCAAGTAGGTCTAAAAAAAAGGTAAAAAGAAAAGAAAATAGTTGTTAACACGCGAGTACAATCTGGCTTTGTAGACTTGTCTGTGCGGAGCGTGCATATTCTCCTTGTGTTTGTGTGAATGTTTGCCAAGTGTTCTGCTTTCCTCCCACCTCCCAAAGACTCGCAGCTGCCTCTCCGGACAGTTTTAAACTCTTCCCCTGGGGTTCGTGTGATCTCCCATGAAGAGCAGTGTTTCCCCCATCACTTACTGGGCCATGAGCAGAGTGGATATACCTGTACAGTAGCACCTTTCACAGGGCATGGGGTCAGACAAATACAGAAGATTAAAGGAATTCTGATATTAGTAAACTTTGTTGTTTTTTTTCCTTTTGTACTTAGAGCCACAGATCAGTATATAGGCCTTCATACAAAGAAAAATGACTGGTTGCTAATTCAAGTTTAGGAAACTTGAGGCTTGTTTTCCTGATGACTCAAGCTTGCGTTGGCACTATTTATTTCTCTTTCTAGTTATGGGAGCTATTTTGCTATTATCTTCGGGGAATAACTTGGGAAGGAAATAATACTGTGATTCACTGTTCCATTGTCTATCCGCTGTTCCATTGTTGCGGCACCTTGAGTTTAGAGAACAAGTCCACACACCTGAAGTGGACTGAGGCGTATCAACAAAAATGGTAAGCACTTATTGATTTGACTGAGGACCAGAACTGTAGTGAGGGGACATTCTGAATAACCGGGCTGGACCAGGCTGATGTGCACATCAGAGTCCTATAAGTGACCACTCCAGATAAGCCAAAGGCGCCAACTGAGGTGCAACTCAGAGCAAGAGGAAATGCCACACCTTTATAATGACCTGAGCGGAGCACTGAAGACCCCATTACAACACCGCACAGTGAAAAGGACTTGACGTTGTATAATAATGAACTGTCCCATTGAAGTGATTGGTTTTGTGTTTGTAAAAGACTGGTTGCGACATCCAGAAGAAAATACTAGTGCCATTCTCTGGCCAAGCGCATAAAGGGTAGGTGACCAGCAATACCTGTGACATAATTAGAATAAAACGAAGAGTGAAAAAGAAGAGTGAAATGTGGGAAGTGGAAGCAGTGGAGAGGTGCACTTACAGCTGAGAACAGGTGGGTCTTCTTCATAACGAGGGGTTATGGGAGTATGGAGAACTCATGTCGTCATACCTATAACCTGTTTTTTTAAGAATCCATGGGATGAGATTCAATTGGATCAAACATCTAAATAATCAGATCAGTTATCTACGAAAAACAAATGGACTAGGTGGGCCAGATTGCTTGCTCTTCTTGTCCCACTTCTTATGTTTCTAGGAGAGCTGAAGGAAAAAAAGGATAAGACGTTGCATTTGCAAAACAGGCTGTGATCGTTCTCCATTTTTTTCCATGGTTTGAAGGATTTCTAATCAGCTTGACTGAGCACTCCAATCCTTACTCCGCACAGGGAGAGCGAGGACCTGCATCTACCTGTGTTTTTTTAACTGGAGAGGGTGTGAGAGCAGGTCACAGGTCACAGGTCACAGGTCACAGGTCACAGGTCACAGGTCAGGGAGAGCACATAGTCCTGGCTGTGCAATATTTAATGTCCGTTTTTAAAGATGCCTTTTGAAAAGAGCCACCTGGCTCCATGGAGCCTTAAAGGCGACTCAGCACTTGTTGTAGGAGCCCTACTGCACAGCAAGATCACAAGCACCAGTCCAGCTAAACGGGCTGCTGTTGCGCAGTAAGCCAAGGTGCCCTCGCTCACTCCTGCGGGACTTGGCCAATGAAACAGTCCTGCCAGGGGAATGTTGCTCCCAGCGGGTTATTGATACGTCCGACGTTCACTCTGTCATCATCTAGACTTTAGGGACCAGCGTTCGCTCTGAACAAGCACCTTCGCTGTGAAACCACCTGGGGGCTCTAGCTCGGCTTCGACTGCACCTCACGTCTTGGCGGTTTTTCCACATCTGGCCCCTGGTGTGGTTTGTGAAAGTTAAAAGCAGAAGAGGAAGATCGCGGATAGATCTCAGTGCAGTAGGCCAGTCTGCAGTGTTCTAAAGATACAGTACATGCAACGCAATTCTAACATTTGGAACAAAATCCAACTTAGAACATTATAACTGGGTAATATCAGATTAGTCGCTTTATTTGTTTAGTTTAAGGTGTGTAAATTTAGTCTGACTGTTTCGTACTTGTGCCAGTATTGCAAGCAGGCCAGAATAACATAGAATTCAGGAATATGTGCCAGATTTTGCCTGTGCAAAATCTTACACAGGCATATTTACATGCAATCAATCCTGGGTTTCACAATCTAAGAACGTCTGACTGTACCATCCTTATAATTTGTTTATTGAGCCATTTGTGCTTTCTGGCTGTTTAAGTGTTGCTGTGTTGCTGGAATACTGTTAATGTTTCAGCACTGCTTGTATAGCGGGATCTAATATTCCTTATCTTCCCCACAAACGTTTTGTTTGTTTTGGGGGGTGGGTGGGGGAATAATGTATGAGATGGACAAAATGGGTTCTGGTACCTTTCCCGAGGTCTTTAATGTATAACACTATGAAATTCTTAATGGTGACTTACAGTATAGTAGTGACATTTTCCAGTTTCCTTTGCTGGTCGTTACTGCTATTGTGCCCCTGTCAAGAAGTGTAGGAGCACTAATGGCAAACCTGACGGTGCCAGGAGTACTCGGAAGAATGACAAGAAACGAGTGTGTTTAAAAGTGTAGACCTCTGTGAGCTTGTGCTTTAACCCAGGACTTCATGGACACAATTGGGCGACCAAGGCCTGTGGCGCTGTGTGGCTTACATGCCAAGTCGCGTAGCTGTTATTAAAAATGGAGACTTAACTCCTCCTAGTTCATGCTGTAATATAATACATGTATAAAGCCTGACCCAATCCCTTAAGTTAGCAAGGCTTGGATGAGCCTTCTATATATAGACATAGCCAGTGGCTGGGAACAGTGCATGCTGAAAAAGATATTTACCTCTCTCACGGTATCAAGCAGGAACTCGTAGCGGGTGAGTGCCTCTGTGGTCAGTTAAGAGTCATAAAGGGAATGTTGTGATTTATAGCAGAGCTCCGTATCAAACTGACGTGGAGCTTGAGGAAAGCCTTAGAATCTGTATTAATATTCGGAAGAAAC